AAATTTACACTCCTGTAACTAGATCAGAAAAGATAATCATTATATATAACCACATTATAGGATACATGGAGTAAATAAATAAATGAAAAACTGACATATAAAATTGTATAGCACGGATTAGTAAAATACAATAATAAGACGATAGTTCTTTCCCGAGACACTACTCAATAGATGTTGGCAGTTTTATCAGATAATTTCCTTCTCAATATGGTATACTTTATGTCCTAAATACAAGCAGCTAAAGACATCCGAAATTAATTGGGGCCAAGCACACTGTGGTGGCAGTATTGATTAATTGCAGTGTCTGAATTGTGGAAATCAATTTGCATATGAAAGGTATTGAGTACATGAACCTAAGTTGCCAGTCTTTACTTCAAACACAATTTACCCCTATGTTGACCTGTACTGTGTAGCACATTCCACGGTATTTAGCGGTTGTTAAGAGGTTAATGTGAGGTGTATTCTAGTGTTGTTTTTCTAGAGAACTAGAGGCACAGTAACAAACAATCTCCATTACGTATTGTTCACAGATAACATAAATATTTAAGCTCCTTTTTATATGTCGTAATTATGTGTAAAATGTCGTTATTTACTATGCATAACAATAAGGTAGTGCTTAAAGCGGAGGAGTCGTCACCTACACATGTGTCAGATGGCCCTAGCGAGCAATTGTTTACAAGCAAGCGTCTACCCATGAGCCTTTGCTTTTTAGCGTGGGTTGTTATCGTCGGTTGAGACTCAATTCCAGCGCTCAAATCCACACATATTTCTTCGTTCTCATGCTACTCGTAACACACCAGTAAAAAACAGATCAAATCAGTGTTGCATGTCATAATTTTGAAGTTTAATTTTCGGGAAATTACATTGGTTTAAATTGAGCATTGTTTCACACTTACGAGTGAAACATACATGAAATTATATATGCAAGGTAAACACGACAAGTCAAGTCAACAATTATAAAAGAAACACATAAATACCAGCAACTGAAGTCATAAATTGAGGTCAAAGTGCAATAAAGCATATACTCAATACCACTGTGGTAGCACTATTGACAATTTTGCTTACTAAGTGTGGAAAGACTTGTGGAAAGACTTGTGGAAAGACTTGTGGAAATCTAATTTGCATATCAAAGGTACGGAGGACATTAACCTAAGTTGTCAGTCTTTACTTCAAACACAATTGACCTTTGTGTTGACCTGTATTGTGTAGTGCATTCCATGGTATTCAATGGTTGTTCAGCTCTCTAAGTTAGAAGGTGTAGACTACCGGCAGAGCTCCAGAAGGAGTACCTACACTTTATGCAAATTTTTTTAAAATTATGCTAATTTATTCATGACGTAGCAGTTTCTGTGCTCATGAATATTCATTAATTTGTGGGTCATTACATTTTAAAAGGGGCGATATATTATTTTTGGGGGAAGAGTTAGAAAGGGGGATTAGCAATCCTTAGGGGGTCAATACAAAAGAAGGGACCCATTTGGAGAGCAGCCATGCTCCTCGTGTCTGTTGTTGCACGTGACCTACAGCTGTCAACTGTGTTCGTTCTTCGACTGTGTTCGTTCTTCGACGACTTCGGCTGGCTTCCACGTGGGGTAGTATTCTTGTGTTCTGTTTTCCTGACTTGAGTTTTTGAATCCGCTGTTTATGATTTTAACGTCTTTCATGTCTTTTGTAGGAGTGTC